CCCTCAGCGCCGCCAGCTCCCTCCGCTGCCCCACCAGCCTCCTCCGCAGCCTCCCCACCTCCTCCCGCTGGGCCACCAGCTCCTGGGCCAAGGTAGCCACATCAGGACCGGTGGCTGAGGGTTGGGCACCGCTCTCCTCCTTCTCCCGTAGCCCCCGTAGCTCCTCCTGGAGCCGTTCCCTCTCGCCCCCCAGCCGGGCCAGCTCCCCCAGGAGCCTCCCGTTGCTCTCCTTCAGCTCCACCACCTCCTTCTCCAAGCTCTTCCCACCCGGAGCGGGCTCCGTGCCGTTCACTGGGCAGGGAGAAGGGGTTTTCCCAGTGGATGGTGGGACCGTCTGCTCCCGTTGGAGGTTTTCCAGGAGGGACCGGGATCCTTGGAGGATCTTGGCGTGGGCCTGGTCGGCGAGGCTCAGCACCCGCTCCAGCTCCACCACCAGCTTCTCCCAAGCTGCCAGGCTTTTCCGCACGGCCTCGGCCGATACCACCTCGTAGTGCAGTTTGCTCCTCAGGGCTTCCTCCACCTCCTTCCTCAGCCCCTTGCTCCGGGCCACGGCCTTGGCCTTGGCCACCCTCATCTTGCCACACTCATCCCCCAACCAGGCCAAGAAGGGCAACAACGCCGGCACCTCGGCATCACCCGGGGTTTGGCCTCCTCCTCCATCCCCTTCTTCTTCTTCTTCTTCTTTCTCCTCTGCCATCCTCTTCCTCAGCTCGCCCACGTGCTGGGCCAGCAGGGCCAGGCAGGCTCCATCCTCATCCTCACCCTCCGTGCCGTGGCAGCCGGGCAGGAGCCGCGCCAGCTCCCGCACCCGTTGCCGGATGCCCTCGGCGGTGGCCGCCAGCCGCTGGCATTCCCTCCTCTTCCTCGCCAGCCGCTCCCGCAGCCGCCGCACGGTGCACCCATCCCACTGCTCTTCATCCTCCTCATCATCCTCATCCTCCTCGCTCTCGCTGCTGGGGCTCTCCTCTCCCTTCGGCGCCGAGTTCCCATTCTCTGCCGGGAGGAAAAGAACCAATCCGTCTTATTTTTCCCCTTTTTTGCCCTAAAATGAGCGAGGTGATGGTGTGGGGGGGGTCTCACCTCTTCCCCCGTGGCGGGCACGGCGCAGGAGCCGCCGCAGGGCCCGGCTGGGGGTCTGGGTGGCCAAGCGCCCGCGGTCCTCGTCCCCCAGGGCCGCCCCGTGGCTCAGCAGCAGCTCGGCCGACTCCAGGCTGCAGCGCTCGCAGGCCAGCGCCAGCGCCGTCCTGAGGGACCCGTGACACAGTGGCACGTTGGCGTGATGGCACAGTAGCACGGTGGTATGATGGCACGGTGGCACGGTGGTACGATGGCATGGTGGCACAGTGGCACAATGGCACGGTGGTATGATGGCATGGTGGCACGATGGTATGGTGACATGGTGGCATAGCAGCACAATGGCACCATAGCATGGTGGCACAATGGCATGGTGGCCCAGTGGCACAATGGCAAAGTGGCACAATCGCATGGTGACATGGTGACACGATGGCACAATGGCATGGTGGCCCAGTGGCACAATGCCAGAGTGTGACAGGGTGGCACAATGGCATAGTGGCACAATCGCATGGTGACATGGTGACACGATGGCACAATGGCATGGTGGCCCAGTGGCACAATGGCACAGTAGCATGACAGCACAATGGCATGGTAGCACAATGGCATGGTGGCCCAGTGGCACAATGGCACAGTGGCACCATAGCATGATGGCACAATGGCACAGTGGCACAATGGCACCATAGCATGGTGGCCTAGTGGCACAATGGCACAGTAGCATGACAGCACAATGGCATGGTAGCACAATGGCATGGTGGCCCAGTGGCACAGTAGCATGGTGGCATGGTGGCACAATGGCATGGTGGCCCAGTGGCACAGCACATGGTGGCACAAGGGCACAGTGATGTGCTGGCCACAATGTGACATGGTGGCATGGTGGCATAGTGACACAGAGGCACAATGGCATAGTGGCATAATGGCACAGTGACATGGTGACACGATGACACAATGGCATGGTGGCCCAGTGGCACAATGGCACAGTAGCATGATGGCACGGTGGCACAATGGCACCATAGCATGGTACCACAATGGCATGGTGGCCCAGTGGCACAGTAGCATGGTGGCATGGTGGCACAATGGCACAGTGATGTGCTGGCCACAGTGTGACATGGTGGCACGGTGGCATAGTGACACAGAGGCACAATGGCATAGTGGCATAATGGCACATGGCATGGTGGCATGGTGGCACAATGGCAAAGTGATGTGATGGCCACAGTGTGACATGGTGGCATAGTGACACAGAGGCACAATGGCACAGTGACATGGTGACACAATGGCATGGCAGCACAATGGCATGGTGGCCCAGTGGCACAATGGCACAGTAGCATGATGGCACGGTGGCACAATGGCACCATAGCATGGTACCACAATGGCATGGTGGCCCAGTGGCACAATGGCACAGTAGCATGGTGGCACAATGGCACAGTGATGTGCTGGCCACAGTGTGACATGGTGGCACGGTGGCATAGTGACACAGAGGCACAATGGCATAGTGGCATAATGGCACATGGCATGGTGGCATGGTGGCACAATGGCAAAGTGATGTGATGGCCACAGTGTGACATGGTGGCATAGTGACACAGAGGCACAATGGCACAGTGACATGGTGACACAATGACACAATGGCATGGTGGCCCAGTGGCACAATGGCACATGGCATGGTGGCATGGTGGCACAATGGCACAGTGACACAGTGGGACGATGGCATGGTGGCACAATGGCACAGTGACGTGGTGACATGATGGCATAGTGGCACGATGGCATGGTGCCATGGTGACACGATGGCACAATAGCATGGTGGCACGATGGCATGGTTGCAATGTGGCACAGTGGCATGGTGGCACAATGCCAGACTGCATGGTGGCACGATGGCACAATGGCACAGTGACATGATGGCACGGTGGCACAGGTCCCTCCCCACCCCTTCTTCCCCCCCTCCCTTGGGGACAGGGGACAACCCCGGAGCTGCCTTCACAGGGGCACCTCCAGTGTCCCCGTGGTGCAGAGCCATGGAGCCATCACCCCAGGAGTTGGGGGGGGGTCAGAGCAAGAGACATGTCCCTCCCCCACCCCATGACCCCCAAAATGTCCTACAAATGTCCCCCCCTGTCCCCGTGGCCACTCACTTCTTGTCCTTGTCGGCCATGTTGGGGTCGGCCCCTCTCTGCAGGAGCTGGGCGCAGATGGCAGCGTGGTTCCCCCGCGCCGCCAGCATCAGGGGGGTCTGTCCGTGCTGGGGGGGGGACAGGACACACGAGGGGGACACACA